GGAACAGTAACTAATATGATCACTTGTTGACAGTATCGTACAATTTCATTCTATTCTGAGGATGGATGGAAAAGACTGACCGCTCAAAACACGAATTTAAGGCTGTGAGCTTGTATTTGTGGGTAATCTTAGCCTGCATCGCCAACCTTCCAGTGACAGCTTCTCAACGTATGTCCCAAATGTTCGGGGCCACCCAAACTTCGACTCATTGGTTGCAAATAAAAGATTCAGGAAAAAGACTAACACAGTCAAGACTAGCTCAGTCGTATATGCGAAAAAATAGTTGGGTTTCAAAGATTCTATTGCTTCATAAATGTTGAGCTTATTTCCATTTCGAATGAAAGTCTTTGTTGAAGAGAATCTAGGGCCAATCCCACCAAAAGACGTCGGCAGATTCCTCCTGACAAGCTGTCGGTTGGTTTACTGGAACAATATTTTTCTTTCACATTGAAACAAAAAGCTCATCGGCATTACCAGACGTGTGTCCCACTTTTTGCAATCGGAATGAAAGATAAAATATAAAACATATCTAGCAAGGAGATGATTGTGGTCACCGAAACTTGATTTCCGAGAACAGAGTTTACTTTGTCTGTTATAGTTACTTTGAGTCATCACTTCTGATTTTGTACATATGCGATTACAGACAGTCACACTCATATGCTTTCAGGCTGACATACGACTTGAACTAATCAAATAACTTTAGAATTAATCGAAGAGTTTAGATTTAGGGTATATAAACAACATTTAGGGATGAGCCGGTGAGCTTGCTTGACTCTTTAGATTGAATATAATTTCCGTCATAGGACGGACGAGAGCTTAGCATATTTTCACTGGAATTGAAGGAGATTGCCTCAGAAACAGCGCCAACAAGAATGTTCCAGTAAAGTCACTCAGCATTAAGTCAAGAGAAATCTGCCTTTGTCTTCAGGTGGGATCGACCTTCGAATCTCTTCACTAAACATTTTCACCGGAACTGGAAAGAAGCTCAACAATAAGTAAGATTTGTATGTGTCTGGAAGCAGACCTTTTCCCCTCGAAATCCGACTTAGTCGGGTATCGGACCCAGAGTCGGTGCCTCCAGTGCTAGCATCACTTTAAACTAGAGGAATATGCATTTCAAATCTTTTCTCCAAGTTATTCAGTATAATTCCGACCAAAATGTACATTTGTAAATAAGCGAATATATTGTAGAGCTTGTCTCATTCGCAAAAAAAGTTTGTAAAAATACAAAATTCTCGTCTTCTTTAGTCATGCCCACTTAAACATAGAATATATATTTAAATGCAATTGTGAATTGAGAATGTGAGACTTCATGTTAAGTCAAGTCTCTACAATCCTGTTCTTCATTCAGTCGAATTTAAAGCAGCCAGGCATTTCTGAGTAGGGATCTTTTCAATGCTTTTGTAAGTCGCTTTTAAGAGGTCTATGATGAAGAAATGCCATTCACAATCTATTTTTAAATTACACTCAAATTCTATGCGGAAAATAGCTTTTGCCAATAGAATTAATGAATTCGCTTATCTCTTCTATTCGACATACAGCCGAAAGCCACGAAGTTTATTTGATCCTAATCACTTTGCCCACTGTAACCGGTAACTGTCAATTTTAGAGAAAAAGATTTCTTTCGTGCGTCATTGAAGCTAGGTACATGTCCATAATTGTGTGTATGCCTTTCGGAACGTGTGCAAATCAGCTTAACTCTGTCTCGTCGGATTTACGAGATGGTAAGTCAGGCATAAGTGAGTTAGGCAGAAATGGGATCACCTAGCGCGAATATGGCCGGATTTCGCCTTTAATTTGTTGATAATGTGAGCTATTTTGTGACTAGCTTGTCCTGCCAATTATGCACGACCATATCTAAATACTAGAGGCCCATTTAGCTTTAGGCGAAGCCGACAGACTGAACAAACATGTTCAAAACGAAGCTATGAAGAAAAACTGGATTTCGAAGAATCCCTTATTGATACGTCTTTCCATCTCGAAGGAATAGTTGGCTGGAAGGAATTCGTGATGTGGTCTCACCGGAAACTGAAGGAGCATTCCGCGTAAGGAAGACTAGTGTCTTCCTCCTGGTTTAGTATATTTTTGCTCTATTTCGTAAAGTATAGATTCTTGCTCTGATGTATGTCACGGCGGTACAGACAAAAGTTTAGCACATGTTCATCGGAGCCGCAAGACGGTGAGCTGATGAATTCTTCGCGCAACACGCTAGTCTTCAATACACGGCAGTCCTCATTCAGCTTCCTTCCAACCTACTTTTCCTTCGAAATGGAAAGTCATGTCAAAATGTTCATAATGGTCTGTACTGGAACGGGCCCACTCTACTATGGCCACCCTCCGTCAGAAGTTGTTAAGTTAAAAAGGTCCTAATACTGTTGGCTACATGTGGGCGATTAAGAGTAAGCTGGAGACCTCATATTGTAATCCCATCTTCTTCACCTCGGACAGGCTATTTGGGCACTCTCCGGAGGGTCTGTCCAGTCCCCTAAACACTCGATTGGACGTCCTAGCTGGTGATGGATATTTCTTTCGGTAGGCCGCTGCCTTTGCTGCTCGCCTGAGATGCTAAAGCTTCTAGATTAGGTGCAGTACATTATTCGACGCTTCCAAAGGCAGCTGAGACACGTCATACACAGGTGAGAGTGTGTAAAAACTATGCTTTTCAGGTGATCATAGTAGAAATTAAAAAAAAATTGGAAATAGGTAGGTGAAAACGAGCAATAAATTAATGCGAAAGAAGAGACATAAGTGAAACATTTGGACACTGCAGATGCAATCTCTCGCAATTAGAAACACTTACTTGCGTACACAAATTAACGCACAGACTGACAGAAATATCGAATGACATTCATATTTGCATACATTCATACACGCAGACACCCAAACACATACATAAATGAAGACATGGACACAGACAGGCAGAACGATGGGCATGAACATACACATTTAAGCACATTGTTTGATTTCGGTCAGACAATAATACTACTCTTAATGAATTGCAGTAGTAGCGCTCTAGACTACCATATGCAGAGGTGTAGGGTAATGATTTGAGTAAATATGGACGTAGTCCTACTACCATTTGTGAGGATCCGATGTCTCTGTCATCATGAGTACTACATATCGTGACTAGATAGGTCAGTCAGATATGCGTGGTTGCTTCTTCCTTAAAATTTTGCTGAATCGCTGCTAGTTTCGGTCAGAAAGTGGTGGGCCCCTTGAAAAAATTCACAATGAATGACTAATGGACTAGAAAAGGTGCAATCTTTCAACTGCGTGTGCAGCAACAGCTATGCATTTTGTTACTGTATGTCAAAACTTCCCAATTTTGACATTTTAAGTATCAGATAACAGGACTCTGTCTGCAACATGGCAAGTATCAGGAAAATGTATATTAACTGTTCTGATCAGATGAACGCCACTAGTAACGACCAGTGCATTAATCAAAACCTATTTTGTAGGAACTTCCAAGCTCACATGTCATAATTGACATGCTTGCTGTTGGGTCCACTTGCAAAGCGATGATCTCGAGCATTTTGACGGTAGCATGTGAAGTATGCTAGCTAGTTCGGGGTTGTGAGTTAAAGGTACACATATCTACTTTGAAGTTGTCAGAGTTATAACTCGTGAAGGATGCAAATCACTTAACAAATGCGATCGAGTAGAGCAATTCTGATTTTTTCATATCATGCCTTCAATTTTGCACGATATCCGGTCTTGACGACCCGTCATAGAAACCGCGTTAAATTTCGAGCAAGATCAGTCAGACACGGATCTGTTCTGTTGTAGTGGAAAAGGAACTAGCAACGGTTATTTTTCTCCACTTTCAAAATATTGAATGTCTTTTCGTCATAAATATTAGGGCTAGAACCCTTGACCGTCGGTATGATAGCAGGCTCATCCGACGCAAAGAAGCCTGAAAGCTGATAAGTTTTAAGGGCTTACTTGGTTTGTACTTTAGTAACTGGTAGCAACTACTCAAGTCAACATGATAATAGAAATTCCCACTTTATGTCCATTTCGAAAGAAATTTGATTCACAATCTCAAAATCTGTAATATTAGATTTAATCGTCTTAATCAAAGAAAGATTTTATCACCTTAAATAGGAGAAAATATCCTCGCAATTATGACGAGATCTATTGACTAGGTTGTCTTTAGTATTCAAAACATACTATGGGAGATCCGAAGGGCAGCTGTTTTGGTTTTCAGAGCAAATCGGGCTTCTTCAATTTAAATCCAAATTCATGAATCTAGGTAAATTTGTACTTTCTAATACATTATATTCAACGAATATATATTACTATATACTACTCTGGTTCGTATAAATCATCTTTTGGTTTGGAAACAAACTCACTACTTATATAGTGAAAGCTATATTACTCTTTAACGGATGGCCAAAATTTTCTCCATATTTTCGAGGATACGTATGCATCCAAGCGTGTATGAATACGTGCCTGCATAAATGTAACCACCATGCTTATGTTTTCTTATATCTCCTTTTGCGAGAGGTCTAATCTGATGGAAAAAATAGGCTCTTGGTTTCCTGACATCTCTGATTGGTTGCAGGCGGGCATGGCAATTAGAATAGCTGAAAATGCATGTAATCAGTTAGGAAGAAGGACTAGTTAGACAAATGTAATTAGAGTGACTTATATTGGCTTGAGTATTTATTCAAAGTCTACTAATAATTTCAAAATAATCCTATTTATTATAGGATAAAGTGGGTTTGTGCACATGGTGCATGCATTTGTATGCCTTTGTATGGGTGTGTATGTATGTGTAAGTTTGTATGTATGTGATTATGCTCTTTTTCAACAATACCTTATATACTAACACATCGAAAAGTTGAAAAAGATTCAAGTTGTCCATTTTTCATGAAAGTTAGATATTTTCAGGATTATCCTTCATTTTCTGTGAAAGAAGTATGCACATTTGGCGAAGTCTGTTCAGGCATTTTTTGCAGGAAGACCAATTGCACCATGGGGATGATACCACTTTCTTGCTAGAAGAACAATTCGCGAGTTGTTGACGACGATAAACTGAGAATCCCGGCCTTTAACGTATGTCCCTTAGGATTGCAAAATGCCTTGCTGGGCTTTTCTCTACTTTTCTTACATGCAGCTGTCAAATTGCCTAAAACCGGTGCACGCCTAGAATAAGCAGCTTCATTCCTCGGGGCTTTATTATCCATGTTCCAAACTTCTCCTAGCGAGCCCTGCTTATTAACACGCTGGTAGGGCGCAGCAAGATCCATCTGTATCAGTTTGTGTGTGTGCATATGTCGGTATGGTACTCCGTGTTGGCTATACATGTTCACCTCATTTTGTGTTTCCTTGATCTTAGACATTCACGCGCGGATAACTCTGCTCTTATCCAACTTTGAATGAATATTTTTGCCTGGACGTCTGTGATAACATTTGCTTCGGGAAATTCTTTCTGATTCCTCAGTTTTCCTTAGGAACTAACCATAAACTGCTGCATATTATCCTTCTCTCCTCAGTGTGTCTGCTTGCTCATGTGTAAGCTTGTGCATATGCATATTTGCCCGCTTTTGCATGCGCTTCTGGGCCTGGAGGGAATGTTGTTTAAGTTGAATGAACCATGCCCCGAAAGAGGGAGTTCAACTGTGGCCACCGCTATGAGCCGTCGCGTAGCTGTAGCTGTAGACTTTCTTGATCAGGAGCAAAAACGTAACCTCCTCTACTGAAAACAACCAGATCCCCTTTTGCATTTACCGGACAGGCATGACTTGCTTGGTTGGGTAGGCACTTGTGGTCGACAGTTACTTAGTCTCTGAAAGTCAGGATCAAATACATATTTAAGATTTTAGTATAGAATTATGGCGTGCATTCCACTGCCATTTGAGCTTTATGCAATCTCTAAGCTAGTCCTTTTGTATCGGGACCCAAATGTATATGGTTGTATGCCGCTTGGAATAAAGTTGGAACTAAAGCAGGTCTGAAGTACTGGTCCATTTTCAGTGAACCAACTCTGACAAGCTGAGACCTATGCATCACACTATCGTGGCGGATATCGGTACCACTTTAGACCACACTGTAAGACATGGGGTGTATTCTGTCTGTTAGCTCCAAGCTTACTCTGCTCTGTGATGAAATTAGAATGACACAACAAATTGTCACTTGGCTGTATCGAAAGTCGACAAATGCCGAGATCTACTTTGCTTTCTGTCACGGCTACACTGTTCGAGAGTCCATGACGAATTGTTTGGAGGCATTGTCTGGTCTATCATGAAATGTGCATCTTCCATGTGACCCAAAGGCACTCGTGGTAATATGGCGTGGTGTGTGATGTATCAAGATCATACGCTTCACTACCACAACCAGACCAATAATTACTGGGAAATTGTTATTTCAAGAAATAGCTTTTTG